TTAGAAACGGAAAAATTAGTGTATACTTGCATTCTCCAGTAAGGGACAAGGGATCCCTCGGTTCAAACCCAGAACAACCAATGCGGCCAATGAACGGGCCACAAAACTCGTCTTATTCTTTACCTTAATGAGCCGGAGAATGCGGCCAATCCTGAAGACGCGCACCACGCGCAGCAGTGTGGGCGACACGGGGAAGTCGATCATGATGTCCTCCATGAGGATGCCCAGGATGGACGCCAGGACGAGCAGGAAGTCGAACATGTTCCAGGGCACCGTGAAGTAGTGCAGGCGCAGCCCCATCATCTTCACGAGCGCCTCTGTGGGAGGGACGCGTTTGAGAGAGTGAAGAGTCTGAATTCGAGTAGTTGAATTTAACGGGGTGATCAAACCCGACAGACAGTACGAACCTAGTCCGAAGACGGTTGTGAAAAAGGCGTTGCTGACTTCTAGGACGAAAAACACTGCGTGTGGCTGGTTGTAGTGTTCTATACCCATGCTCACCATGTTGAGAAAAATAAGCACGAATATGGCGATCTCAAATCTGAAACAGGGAAAAAGTGTGTAATAAGTGAACAATATAACTAATAATATTAAATGCGACAAATAATGCCAAATCATCCAACCTCCGCGAATTTGACAAATCGTAGAACATGGCTAGGAACTGATTAATGGGTCGCTTAATGACCTTCTGTGGCTTTTTGCGACCCAGCTTCTTCATGGCGGTGTAGTAGTGCTTTTGGCTCTCGGTTAGGAACATCTCTAGGACACCACCCTCGTACTGTGAAAGCACAAGCAGAAACGTTAAACAACTGAAGACACAAACCACTGTGGAAAGCACAGTATGGGATCAAACGCCTCTCACTTTTTTCTTGAGCATGTTGAAGTTGTCAATAATGACTCCTATAAATAGGTTGAGGGTGAAGAAGGAGCCACACACTATGAAGATGACGAAATAGAGATAGGCGTATATACTAGCTTCTCTCGACGGCTGCAAGTCTACTCCTCGCGAGTCAACCGCGTCCGCCATGACCTCCATCCACCCCTCGAACGTGGCCTAGAAGAAACATGACACTATCAGCACCTGTACACTCGGGAGAACTGAGGTATGGACCTGACTACAGCATTACAGAGGACTCACCACTTGGAAGAGGGCGAGGTAAGCATTGCCCACGTTATCGAAGGATATCTTTGAATTCTCCCACGTATAGTTTAGGTAGAGGCAGTCATACTTTGTATTTACAATCTAGAGAAAAGGTAAATATTAGAAACAACCACAAACAACATCAAACATGTTTGATACGCAAAATTAAAAAGGCCCGTTCTTTACTAGTTCATCCACCTCCACAAAGTGAAGGGCGGAAGGATATAAAGAACGAGAAAAGGGGAAACGCAACTTACAGAAATAGGAAGAAGCTCTCCTCTTTCGTCTGTGCACTTATAAAACTTCCCTCCAAAAAACTGAACACCCATGATGGAGAAAATAAGCCAAAACACGAGACACACTAAGAGCACGTTGAAGATGGACGGTATTGCGTACATGAGGGCGTTCACGACGATCTGTAAAATAAAGAAGAATAAAATTACCCAGTCTCTACTGTCTATTGCCAAATACGAAAGATGGGGAAGTCTTCAGAATGTAAGGAAAAACTCACCCGCATGCCCTGCCACCTTGAAATAGCTCTGAGAGGCCGGAGCGCCCTCAGAGTCCTCAGCGAGCGCAGCACTTTGAGATTTTCATTCTCTTCGATTAACAAACTAAACACTGACACAAACACGATCACAAAGTCGAGGATAGTCCAGAACGAAGTGAAGTACTTCCAAAACCCTAGCGCTATCCACTTGAGCACCATCTCGATGGTGAAGAGCAGCGAGAAGGCCAGGTTGGTCCAGTACAGCACCTTCTTCAGCGTCACGTTCGAGTCGAGGTGTATGTCCTCGAAGCAAAGCGTGACAGACGACGCGAAGATGAGCACCAGGACTAGCCACTCGAACACGGGCGTGTCCACCACCGACAGCACCACCGTCCGGGTCGTCGTCCAGCGACGGCCCCACGGCGAGAGCAAGCAGCGGTCCATACACGCACACCTACTGCAACAGGGTACGAGAGGAGGGACGTAAGAGAGCGCCATTCACTTGGCCAACGCAAGAAACCAGGGAGCGGCCTCACACGGGACTCACCTTTGGAAGCAATGTTGAGGGAAGCAGTCTTGTGGAGTGCGGTCCTTTTGGTTCCGCCCAAAGCCGGGGAACTTGCCCAGCCCGTCGACGTAGTGGCCCTTGGAGTCGCGCCGCCCGCCTACCGTCAGCTCGTCCACGTACGACACGAGCGTGAGCCATGGCTTGCGCTTGCCCGAGGGCGGCGGCGCGGCGGGCAGCGCGGCCGCCGGCACCCCGGGGGTGGCGGCGCCCTCGCTGCGGCACTCCTGCGTCGACTCGTCCTTGCTCTCGGCCTGCGTGTTGGCCAGCGAGTACCGCCTGAGGCCCGCCGGGCCCTCCGGGTCCTCGGCCGTCGACTCGAACGACTCCCTGAGCGGCCACGACCTCCGGATGCGCCAGTTGACGGCGCGCTCCGAGGTGTTGGGCCGCACCACGGAGGGCGCCGGGGAGGGCGACGGCGTCGGGGTGATCATGTCCTCGGCGGCGTCCTGGCGCAGCATGGGCGCCGTGCTGTCCTCCGACTCCTGCGTCGTCACCACCTCCTGGACGCGCAGCGGCGCCACCAGGCCGGCCTCCACCGCGTCCAGCCCGTCGCCGTCGGCCAGCACCACCACCTGCTGCAGGTCGCCGTCCTGGATGGAGGCGGACAGCCGCGCCGACAGCCGCGCCGAGAGGCGCGCGGCCTGCTGTCGCTGCTGCAGGCGCTGCTGCTCGTGGTGCTGGAGGTGCAGGTCCTCGGGCCGGACCTCGACCGAGTAGCGCTGCTGCAGCTTCTCCACGTCCTCTGGGCTCAGGACCCGCTCCTTGTCGAACTCCACGGCGGGCGCCTCGATCATCTGCGAACGCGATCCATTTTCAAGCTCTCACAAACTTTCCCGCGGGGCCGAAAAAGTTTGTGTCCGAGTTTGGGTGCATCGAATGGGCTCACCTTGGGGCAGGGGCACTCGAAGAGCGTCGTCTCGGCGGTGGAGTTGGGCTTCTTGGGCAACTTCTTCATGGCGCGGACCACCTCCTCCAGGCGCATGTTCTGCTCGTTCTCGCCGCGCTCGTGCGGCACCCTGGTCTTGCGCACGATGGAGCGGATCCGGTCGAAGCTCCGCGCCAGCTTCGAGCCCTCGCCGACTTCCTGCGAAGCAAAGCACACACACACGCGAGTCTCAGCCGGCTCACAGAGTGCACGCACACCGTGCGCCCCTCCCCCCCTGCATCATTGGCAGCCAACGTACCTCCTTCTTGGACTTGAGCTCCTCCGAGTTAAAGCTGTTGAGCAGCAACGCCAAGAAGAGGTTGAGGACCATGAAGTTTCCCATGACGAGGGCCGGCAGAAATATGAGGAAGCACGTGCCGTAGCCCTGCGGATTTGTGGAAGACGGCGCAAGAATTACACAACCGGAAAGAATAACACGCGCTGCTGTATCAACAGAAAAAATAAAAAAGGGAGAATCCGGGCTTTCAGTTAGTCCCGCGCCTCCATCCTCACCTCGTGCTGTTCGGCCCGCATGCAGTCCCACAGGGGCTCGATCCACTCCCCGCACAGGATGCGGAAGATCATCATGAACGAGTGGAAGAAGTCGGAAAAGTTCCAGCGCGGGATGGGGTCCGGCTCGAACTTCTCGGCGGTGTAGTCCTTGGAGAAGAGCTGCATGCCGATGACGGCGAAGATGTAGATGACGATGACCAGCACGAACGTCAGGTTACCGAGCGCGCCGATCGTCGAGATGATGATGCTCAGCAACACCTTCATGGTGGTCCAGGACTGGGCCAGCTTGAGCACGCGCAGCTGCGGAGGAACGGGAAAGTTTAGCAAAACGGACGATGTCCGTCCGTGGGGATTATGAAGTCCGAAATTTTTCCGGGAAAATTTCAAACTGTTTCAGAAAAAATCGGTAAAAATTTAAATGTTTTTGGAAAAAGTAGAAACTTATAAGGACACTTTGAAAACATTCCCAAAAATATTTATCTGTCAAAAATGAAGTCCCTGTCACCGCACTCACCAGTCGCAGACCCCGGAGCACGGACAGCCCGCCCACCAGCTCGAAGGACAGATCGAGCAGGGACGCCGACACGATCAGCAGGTCGAAGATGTTCCAGCCGCAGGCGAAGTACTCCTTGCTGAGCGCCAGCAGCTTGAGCACGCACTCGAGGCAGAAGATGGAGGTGAACACTTTGTTGCCGACGTCGAGCGCGTTCCGGATAGCGTCCGACATGCCGTGGTGCTCGGTGGCCAGGAAGGCCGTGTTGATGACGATGCAGAGGGTGATGAGCAGCTCGAACAGCGGGTCGCGCACCACCTTGTGCAGGCCGTGCTGGAAGTGCAGCCAGCCGCCGTAGTCCACGCAGCACCGCGTGCAGCCCGCGCAGTTGCGGTCCACGACGTTGTCTGCAAAAAAAAAAAAAAAAGGAACCCCAAAAGTTACAGTGGGCCACGTTACGTTTGATGCAACCAACAGTCGTGGCAATCAATCTCCCCCAAAATGCAGGGACAGACAAAACGGCCCTCTGCCCAGCCCCGTCTGTAGTTACAAAAATGACCACGTCGAGGGGATCTTTTTTTCTTTTTTCTGTCCGTGTGTCGGTCTTGTCGGCCCGTTTCGACCACGCCACGCCGCCACGCTACGCCACGCCGGGCCATGACAGAGGACGAGCAGCCCAGAACAATGCTCGCTGCTCTCATACTCCCGTAATAATAAGAAGAAACAAAAGGATGGCAGGCGCCATGGACGTGGCGGGTGGCGGGGCGTGACGTGGCGTGGCCGGGCAGCCAAATAATAAAACAAGCTGCGCTTGCACCGGGCTGAGCGTAGCGGGGGCCGCAGCGGGCGTCGCCCACCCACACTGATTGTGCAAGGGAGCGAGAGCGAAGGAGAGAACTTCATTGCTCCCCCTTGCCGTCTCTCTCGATCGCTCCGTTGATCTCCCTCTCTCTCTCCCGCCCTCCTTCCCTCCCTTCCATCTCCCTCCCCCCTCTCTCCTCTCCCTCTCTCTGTCTCTATCTCTATCTCTCTCCTCTATCTCTCTCCTCTCTCTCTCTCTCTCTCTCTCTCTCTCTCTCTCTCTCTCTCTCTCTCTCTCTCTCTCTCTCTCTCTCTCTCTTACACACACTCACCCAGGACGACGACGTGCGACAAGTAGTCCTGCGGCGAGAACTGCTTCTGCTTGTTGAGGTTGGGGCTGACCCCGTTGCACTTGAGGACCTTGATCTCCTTGGTGTCCTTGGAGCGCAGCGTGGTGGTCTGCAGCGAGGGCTGCTGGGTCACGACGGGCTCCGGCCGCTGCAAGCAAAACAAAGCCGTCAGGCACAATTGCGAGAGAAAGGGGGGCTGCTTCACCATACCAGGACGCCGTCGTCGTCGTCGCTACTCACCGGCGCGCACACGTGGACGACGCTGGGGGCGACGTCCTCCGAGGTGAGGTCGCCGTCCTCGTGGTCGTCCACGACGCCGCTGTCGTCGAGCGACGACTCTCGGTTGTTGCCCTCGCTGTTGTTGGAGCTGCCCTGGCGGCTGCCCAGCGCGCCCCGCCCGGGTCCACCTGCACAGCGCGAACAGAAGGGGAAGGGGGTCATTACCGAGGAGCTGCAGGCGAAACGGCTGGTGTTGGTGGCCCTCGTAGCCCTCCGAGAACGTCTGGCCCAGCAGAGCCCACCATACCACCACAGCCGCGGAGGGCTGGGCTGAGAGGGGGTGACACTCCCCAGCGTGTCTCGGAGGACAAAGAAACGATTATGTTTGGAAGGAACTTGATAAGTAAGCCAGGCCTGCTCCTGCTACGAGCCCACGCGCCGCCCGCACGGCGCAGCCCACTCGGCCGCCGTATCTCAAAAGCCGCTCCCTCCCCCTCCTCTCATGCTCCCGAAAGTAGTAGTAGTGCTCCCCGCTGGCCCGGAGGTAGAAGAGGAAGTGGGAGGGGGAGGGAGGGACGGATCCACAGGGCCGGGCCGGCGGCGGGAGGACGACATAAGCCGGAGACAAGACCGCCGCGCTGTTCGAGGATCTACAAACTTGCTCCCCTCCGCTCCACACCCCCCACCCCCTCCCTCCCGGCTCCTTCCCGCTCCCCTCGCCACGCGCCCGCCCTTAATGGCACAAGGCGTTTAAGTAAATTACAGTCGCGAGGCGTGGCGGTATGGTATGGGTTATCATCGTTGGAAAAGGAGAGAGGGGTGGAGGAAGTGAGTGAGCGCGCGGGAATATTCAAAGTCCCCACCCCAAACTACTCCTCCTCCTCCTCTGGGCTCGGTGGCCGGGGCCGAACACACCCGCGGCCGCGCTAAGTCCGCACGAGGACGAGAACGACGAGGACGAGGCCGCCTAAGGGCTCCCCATGAGGCGCGGCCCGACGGCCCGGCGCGACGCCTCCCGAAGGGCCCTGTAATAAGAAGCCCCGAGTCGTGTGCCCTCTGCTCCACGCCTCGCTGCCGCCGCCGCTGCTGCCTACTCGTCTGCTCACACCACCACCACCACCACCCCAAATTACAAAAGCAATAATTGTTAATATTATTGAAATTGAGCGAGCCACCGTACCGCCCGCGACCCCACCACCACCCCCTGCGCGGCTGCTGGGGAAAACAATAGTTGTAA